TGCCTCGCAAGACGGAAAACTCGCAAGACGAAAGGGTTTTTGGTTTTTTGAGTTGCTTCGCAAGACGATTTTCCCTATGGGCTTGCTTCGCAAGACGGAAACGTCTTGCAAGTTTGTTTCCTTTTTCTTAAAACCGTTAATACAGTTGCAACTTGACTTCGAGGAGCAACTCATAGCACGCGGTGTGGTAGCATTTTTTGAGGTTTTTGAAGACTTTGGTGATTTTTGAAGCTTTTCCAAAACTTTTCCGACACCGTGCTTCGCAAGCCGACAAAACTCGCGGAACGAATTAATTTCGTCTTGCGAGGCACCACTGTACAGCTATGATCACTGTTATTGCTATGTATTTGGCTATTATGTATACAAATTCAGCCAAAATTTCTCAAGCAAGTTCAAAATAAGGCACAGATAACAGCAAAACAATTGTACTACATCAAGTAAAGTAAAGTCACAATAAAGATAAGCAGTTATGAGCAGAAAATAATACATCTTAAAAGCTAAGGTTGTGAAAACTTGTGCATACACCTGGCACCAAAGATAACTAAGTGAGCACAAGGAGAGCGTTCTCTGGGAGTACAACAAGCAGGTGCCACCACTGAAAATGCCCTGTCCCTGCTTGTTTCCCATCTTACATCAGATGATGAGGACACCTGGAGGGGATCCTCTGTTGGTGACCTCAGTACATCAGCAAGTTGATGTGAGAACAGGCATTCCTTTAGAAACTGAAGTTCTGAACTATGTTTTACTAGTTTTACTGACCTTTTGGGCACTTTCCCAGTTAGTAGTCTAACAACCCTTTTATTAATGCGCAAGCAGTTCTAACAAAGGATTGGGCCATATCTTAACCCTGCTGGCTGCTGCCAGCCAGCGCAGAAATTGAATTGCCAACTCTAGGCTGCAGCCTCTAAGAAGGATGGAGTAGCTTTGTATCCAGAAGATCCATGAGCAGCTCTGTTCCATCTCTCACCTTGTTAAATCCCTTTGGGGGGCCCTGTGTGAACTACCTTTGGTAGGAGCACTGCTGGCAGTGGCTTCTCCACTCCCCGTGCTCTCAGGGTGAAACAGAGGCCTCTGTGATGGCAGAGCCTGATGGAGGAACCCCTCTACCGAATTCTTGCTCCATCGCATAAGTTGAGCTGGAGGTTGCTGCTGTGCTATGACTATGTGATCCCGAGAAGCTTCAAAGGTACTGCGTGGTACAATACATTAATCAATCAATCACTGATGAAGTAAGAGCATGGATTATCACTAATTAATATTTATTTAGCACCGTTAATCTTCAAATTTGCAATCTAATCCCCCCAGCCATTTTTGCTGAATACCTTTTTTATTCTGGTTCCTATCAAGACTTTTTAGGTTTAGCTACTGATGAAACCATTAGCCCTAGCTTTGTAAGCAGTGTAGGAAGATGATGGAATGAATAGTATGTTGCATTTCTGTTTCTTTTTTCTTTTTGTTAATGAAGATGTAACTAGTTGGGGATCCAGGGCTAAATGCTTTAGAATCAGGAGAAAGGCTTTAATATTCTGTTCTTGGCTTGGTATTCAGAAGTTTGCTAGGCAGTGCTTTTTTTTCTTTAGAAAAAAAGTGCCTATACTCACCTTGAAGTTGTTACAGTGATTGCCACACTTTTGTCATTTTTTTTTTGGGGGGGGAAGGTGCTGGTATTGCATACCCTTGAGTACCCCTTAAAAAAAGCACTGGTGCTGGGTACTGTACAAAGCCTATAAAAGGTGGTATTATGGTGTAGAGAGGAACACCTACACCAATATTCAAAGTTGGCATGACGAAACCAGAACAGGGATCTCTCTAAAGTTGAATTACAGTCATACCTCGGGCTGAAGTAGCTTTGGGATGAATATTTTCAGTTTGCGCTCCGCGGCAACCCAGAAGTAACCGAGTGTGCTACTTCCGGGTTTTGCCGCTCGCGCATGCGCAGATACTCAAAATGACATCACACGCATGCACGGGTGCGGCGAAACATGACCCGTGCACACGCAGAAGCGCAGTCACGTCTTACGTTCGCTTCAGGATGCGAACGGGGCTCCAGAACGGATCCCGTTTGCATCCAGAGGTACTACTGTAGTTGAAATTTCCTCAGCTCATTGAAAGGGTTATCTGTGTGGAGCAGTAAATGGACAGCAGCTGATCTTCGGCTAGGTTCCAGGGTGGCCTCTCCTAATAAGGACAGGATCTGGCCATCCTGAAGAAGTACCCACATTGTAAGGGGCATTTATTCCCATTAAAGATAATCTGTATTAATAGTGTTGTGACTCTGTTAATTATATCTATTGCCTCATTTTTTGTGGGGGGTGCCAAAGAAAAGTGAAATCAAAGTTTTGATGTTTGTTCCTGGCTTTCTTGTTTGTTATATTGCAGTTCACTAGAAATGTGTTCAACAATAAAAATTTGGTCTTATTATAACCAGATACTTTTGGGGGTGATTACCACCAAGTTATATTATGATATAGGTTATAGAGTCAAGTCTTGCTGTTTATACTTTAGAGAGGTTTCCAGAGTCTTCTGAACATCTCTCTCTCTCTCTCTCTCTCTCTCTCTCTCTCTCTCTCTAATTGTCATTCTGATCAGAATGCATGCAGGGTATGACTACAATGGAGAAATCATATAACTCAAGCCTGAAAACACTAGTACCTGTTCTCTTCATCAGTGCAGCACAGCATCCTGAGCTCAGCTCTTAAAGTAACTGTTAGCTTTGGAGATTGTTAGATTTGTAGGTGATTGCTTTCATGATCAATGTTCATTTTCTTTTATATCTATATATTATTTATGTGAGCTATTGGGGAATAAGGTTGTAGTTTTATCTAGTTTTCTATTTATTATTTATATAGAACCATCAAAAGTATTGCTGATTTTAGATTGCATTCTTAGATTGCATTATTTTATTGTTTGAGCAGGGGTTTATGGGATTTTATGTTATTGGGTTGCTGCTTTCTAAAAAAAAAAATATTGATTACTTTGTTAGGAAGGCAGAATAAATATATGAAATAAATAAATGATATAAAAGCCATTTTCCAAGGTTCTCCCATACTTTAGAAATGAAACCTAGGATTTAACTATAGAGCTAAGGACAGCCTTTATTCTCAAGGGCTACCACTGACTATGACTCAGTTGAGTGGACTCCATCTTTTCTATGTGTTGTAGTCCCTGAGGCCACCAGGGCAGAGCAAGCTTATCCTTCATCCCAGAGACATCCTTCAAAGTACTTCTTGTTCAGTTGTAATTCCCTCTTATGGGACAATAATGCCCTCTCTGCCTGACAATGGACCATAAACCATCTTGCCCATTTTTGTTCACCTTTCAATGGTAGAAAGTTTCCTATTGGCAGCACAGTAGCTATCTTGGATATCTTTGGGTTTGTCTGGCCTAATGTCTTAAGAACCAAGGAGTGATCCTGTCCTTGCCTAGTGAATGTAAATCAGGGATATTATTTCATAGTAAAATTAGATATAGTTAACTTTATAGTAAAAAAGAACACATTTGAAATCATATGTGCATTATCTTCTACTCCTTATATTCGCCAGCATGTTGAAGCATTATAGAGTTGCTATTTAAAAGTTGTATTTTCTTTGTGTAAAGGTTATGATGCAATTTGTGGCTTTATGACTTGAAAGACAACATGTGCTGCGCAGTAAGAAAATCCCTAGTCCAGATCAAAAGGATTCATTAGGTGTTTAGCTTCTTAGTCTTCTAAAGCTCATGGACAAATATTAAGCTAGAAAGATGTGCTTAAAAGCAGCACTTTCACTCCCTATTTGAAATTTCTTATTCTCATTCACTTCACAGAGTATCATACAGTGAATACAGGAAGCAGACTGCAATGCTTTGATCATGCTACTATCTTGTTTGATTAGTGTTTTCATACTATGGAGTGCATCAGCAGGAGGCAGGTTGCTCTCTGGGGCTTTCGAACAGGCAAAGTAGGAAGCAGAAATGATTTGAGACCATTTAAGATCAATCACTTTCTTCCATCACCTAAGTTTTTTAAAAATAAAGGCACAAATGGATAATGATTGACACCTGATAAGAGAAAAGATTGGCCAATACTTTTGCCTATTTTCTCCAGTTTATAAGAAGCAAAACAGAAAGACCCGTTAGTGATCTAGTTAGCCAGGGTAGCTCCAAGTTGGCAACTTATTTGGACACTGTCTATAGCTCAGCTAAGACCTTCTACCTCTCTTGTGCTAGACCAGTGGTTCTCAACTGGTGGTCTGCATGACCCACCCAGAGGGTCCATGGCACAATTCATATACCTAAAACTACCATGGGGATACCAAAAATTTCAAAAGTAGGGGGTCCATGTCTTGGTTTTTGAAAAGCAGAGGGTCTGCAGAACCACTGTGCTAAGCTATCCATCTGAGACATTGCCTACTTCTTGAAGACTGAAGAACCTTAAATGGCCTTGGCCTGGAATCTAGCACATATTTCTCCTTTTTTGTCTATTCCCACCTCATGCATTGCCTGTGCTGGTGAACAGTCACTGTAAATATTACATCCCTGGTGGAAGGGGTTACTCAAGTTCAAGGGATACTGTCTCTGTGGATCCCAGTTTGAGGGTTTCTGACTAGAGGGACTTCCAGTTGACAGAACAGGGCTTAGTGTTGAGATATAATCTTAGTCTAACCCCTCTGCAGCTCACACCCTGAACCAGGTGTCTGCTTATCCTCCTATGTTCCAGGGTCCTGGTTACTTCCTGAAGTTGGCAATAAAAATATTTTATTTTCTATGGATTTAGAAACACAAGTAATATTTGTAAATGTATCAAATTTATCAGTACTGTTGCTTATGATTTTGCTTTCACCAATTGAATTTTTCCATCTTAGATTGTCAAATATTTGTAGATATTAATAGGGAGAGCCATGTTATTCTTTAAAGTCTTTAGGGTCACTTCCTTGACAGAAATAGTAATTTGTATGTTACACAATAGGCTAGAAATATCTAATTAAAACTGAGCTGAAATGTTTAGCTCTGCTTCAACCAAAAAATGGGCAGATCGCTCCTTTTCCTGGCCTTCGCTCCTTCGCTCTTGCTTCAACAGTGATTGAACAGAGCAGGATCGCGGCCGCCGCCCCATCATCTTCATCCTTAAGCCAGCCAGTCCAGTCGCCGATTTGCACCATGAGTTCCCAGGTCCGCCAGAACTACGACGCCCAGAGCGAAGCCGGAGTGAACCGCTTGGTCAACCAGTTTCTCCATGCCAGCTACAACTACCTGTCCCTGGGTTTTTACTTCACCCGGGATGATGTGGCCTTATCCAAGTTCTCATTCTTCTTCCGGCACCTCTTTGAGGAGAAGCACGAACAAGCAGAGAACCTCCTGACCTTCCAGAACTGCCGTGGAGGCCGAGTTGTCCTGCAGGATGTCAAAAAACCAGAACGTGATGAGTGGACCAACGGAGCTGCTGCCATGGATGCAGCCCTTCAGCTGGAGAAGAATTTGAACCAGGCTCTGCTGGACTTACACAAGGTTGCCACCAGCCACACAGATCCCCATCTGTGTGACTTCCTGGAGACCCATTTCCTGGATGAGGAGGTGAAACTGATCAAGAAGCTTGGGGACCACGTGACCAACCTCAAGCGTGTGCGTGCCAAAGACGAGGGCCTTGGTGAATACCTCTTTGATCGTCTCACCCTGGGAGAGTCCAGTGACTGAATCCAGAGATGCTGGTTCCCTCCCGACTCCTGCAGCCTCGTCCGCCAGAAGTGTGTTCTGCTTTGTGTTATCCTGTTCTCTCGAAAGCTGGCTGCTTAATCAGTGAGCCTCTGTAATCCTGTCCCCATCTACAGGGAGGGAAAAGTCTATAACTGGCATTAAATTAAATAAACCAAAAAATGGTTGTGACAAGGAGAAACAGAGAAAAGCAACAACACATTTTCTTGCAGTGGCAGAAAATCTAAAACTTTCTGTACCAAGGACACTTGCTGCACCAAGCTGTGGCAGTCATTTTTCTAAAACAAACAGACAAACAGACAAACAAACAAACAAACAAACACTGCATTGTTGAAAACTGACAGAAGAAAGAGGCTCACTCCATCCTGAACTCTCTCCTCCCAAAAGTGCCCCTGAAATTATGATATTTTCTGATGTAGCAAAATTCAAATGGAGGTATTGCGAAGGAGTGGCCCATCAGCTTCCAATTACAGCTACATCACCACTTGGAAAAAACAACTCTCAAGGAACTCCACTGCTCCTGCCACCACCACTTATCTGACCACTTGAACTGATTGTTACTTAGAATTTTACTTGTCCCTAAGAACTGAGCAAAAACACTGTCCAGCTCCTGCAGCTTGCAGAGCAGCATTTTCAGCTTAATAATATGACACTGTCCTTATGATTTAGTCTTGTGAATAAATAAAGCATTGCTTGAATGTTTTTCCTTCTTTGAGAATAGAGCTGCATGTCTAATATTGGCTGGAACACAACAGTAATAAGACAAATTGCATTCCCTTCTAATATGTTTAGATCTTAACTGCTTGAGGATAAACACAGGAAGTATACTATTTTTATACTTTTGATTTGTATTATCTTTCTAATTACACCCTGGACTATAACAATTAGGTGTATTTGGTAATATTTGAAGGAATTAATCCAGGTTTTACAGATAAGTGAATCAGCCTGTACAGTCTTCCATTTATGGATTAATTCCACACTCCTTTTTTAAAAGTATTGACTCAGTGAAATGTGCTTGTGAGTAATTCCTTCCTATCAGACTCATTAAATGAAATTATTACTTTCAATAAGCTAAATTGCTTTTTTTCTCCATGCATCTTCCCACTAGTAATATTAGAATGTTGTTGTTGTCCTTTAGTATTCATGTCATACAAAGTTTCTTTCTTAAATAATTGAGTTCAAACTAATACCGTTGAAGCTGTTCATATCTACTCAATGGCTTTTTAAGCTGAGTTTCTATGGCAGCTATATGAAGTGTATACAAAATTACACTTTTTGCCAAAGGGCAAACATAATTATTTATGTTATGTTTTAGTCTGCTGCTAAAAAGTTAACGGGTGTATGTGTCTGTTGAGGGTTGTGAAGATAAGCTCCAGAAAGAAACAGTGATCTGCTTGTTAAAGTAAAAATTTAAATAAAAAACAAAGAAGGGGCTATTGGATTCTAAGAGATTGTGTATTCAGTATCCTGATAATGCCTAGCTCTATATCTTATAGGCTTAAGATCCCACTTTCGGACTTGGAATATGTTTGTGGTTGGGGTTACAAATGCAGGGGCGTTGGTTGAAAACTGAACCCAGATAAATTTCAAATAAGAATGATTGAAATCCTTGGATATTATTCCAGTTGCTCTGGTCGCTCCCATGTATAGCTCTTCAGTGGTCTTGGATCCATTGCTCTGCCTGAACTTTTGCATGGCAGTGGGCACAGTCTTTTCAAATTACTGTGAGAAGTCTGGCCATTTCTTTCCAAGTTTGAACTATTTGTTTCTGAATTTGAACATCATTCCCTTCTTTGTATTGTTTTACATGATTAATAGTATGGTTGAAAATGACCTTGGTTCCTAATCTGCTCAAAATTCTTCATTGTGAATGCTAATATCAAATATTATTTGATGCAGTTTCAATGCTTGACTATTCCCTGAGTATTTGATATCAGTAGTTGATGACAGTTAATGATACTTGATTTGATTATTTGATATATTGAGCCTCACAATCACTCATTGGCAATTGGAAGTGCATCCTCATGTAAGTAATCATGTTTACCTTCTTTTATAAAGTGAGTTTGGATTATCTGAGTAGAAGATTATCATGCAATTTTCACTGCATTAACTAGATAATTGTCTAGTTAAATTGAGGTAAATAAGTTGAGGTAAATTACAGAGCCATTGAATATGCTTTTCACAGCACTCCACACATCTCTTTGATGCAGTGCAGGAATTCTTGGGCAGCAGTCTGTAGTCCTGTTGATGGATTACTCATATGTAGGGTGTTAATGTGATTACTTTGGAACGAGGGTTCCAGCTCTGCTAATAGTTAATAGTCCCCTCAACCCTAATGTAGGCATTTAAGCATGATCAGGAAACCCTGTTGTCCATATGTCCTGATAATATGAATTCTTAACAACTACAGTCTCTTTCAACAACTGTAGATTAGGTGGCAGGCAACTGGCCAAAATGACTTGGCAGGCCTAATTAGACCCTCAAGGTGGATGTTCTCCACCCCTGTAACTAGATACTGCATTTCAACTATGTACTTTTTTAAAAAAATAAAATAAAATGTTACCTTACTGCTTTTTAGTAAATAGGGATTATTATATACATCAAGGTAGACCTTCTGTTTAGTTGTTTTTCTCACAGATTTGTTCATGTTTATGTGTGTTTAACAGGATTATTAGTTGTGAAAAAGCAGAGCTCTGTTAGCATCAGCCTGCTTTTCAATATTTGAAAAATAAATTCTTCAATAGCAATGTTTGAATTTCCCCCCTTTATGTGGGTTGTCAGTGAGCCAACCAGCAATAAATCACATGAAATACCGTATTTTTCGCTCCATAGGGCACACCTGACCCTAGGGCGCACCTAGTTTTCAGACACGGCCAGTCAGTCCCTCCTCCCTCCTCGTGGAAAAGCCTCAGAGACCAGGTCGGGGAGCAGCGCAAAGGCGGCGCACCTGCTGCCCCCCGAGCTTGTGGGGCTGGCAGTGGGGGAAAGCGCTGCTTTCCCCCACCGCCATCCTCAAAGACCAGACTCTCCTGGCTTCAGCGAAAGGAACCTGAAGCCTCCGGAACACAGCGGGAACTCGCACTGCGCTCCAAAGGTCAGGTGGCTATCCCTGAAGCTGGAGAAGCGAGCGGGGTCGTGTGCACCGACCTTCTTGCTCTCCAGGCTTCAGCGAAAGCAACGCAAAGCTCGGACGGCGGAGGGAGACTCCTCTGCGCTTCGTGAGCTGTTTGCTATTGCGAAGCCAAGGACCTGCTTCGCTCCATAGGACGACACACATTTACCCCTTTAATTTTGGAGGGGAAAAAGTGTGTCCTATAGAGCAAAAAATACGGTAAGTGAAGTTAACGCTTTTATTAGAACAAACAATCCCTGCTCAGGGAGTGCCAGGGAGGGGTAGCTAATGCCACAGAAGACAGAATCAGGATTAGGATGATCTTAACAGATTTAGAGAACTGTGTGAAAACTGACAAAAATTTCAATTTCAAGTAGGGACAAATGTAAGGTTCTACACTTAGTCAAGAAGCAGCAACTGCACAAATATAAGGTGGGAGACCATGGATTGCCATTTGTTGTTGGCATCCATCTGTCTTGAAAGACAATAGAATGTGCTTCTGGGGATGAAGTGAAACTGCTGTCTTAGCAGCACCAAAGCGACCTCCCTAGGGTGCAAGCCGAGCAAGGGTGTTTGGAGATCCTGAACTGCCCAGACAACAAGACACCCCCCCCCCTCAGCCTGGGTGATGTGGTCCAAGGGAAAGCAGAGCAATACATTTGGCAATGGCTTGACTGCAGGAGCTGCCCAAAGAAGGGGCTACCCAACCGCCTTAGGAACTCCACTTCGGATTTGTGTAGGGTTTGCTCCTTTGCATTTTCTTCTCCCACAGATATGCCACAAGGCTGAGCCAGCTCTGTCCACTTGAGTACAGAGTACAACATTGCATGTCTTTAAGATGCCACAAAACTCTGTTGTTTTCAAAAGCCTCTCATGGCTGGAACAACAAATATGTTTTCTACCATGTGCCAAAAGTATATCACCACCTCCCAGCTCTAATGGTGGTCTAATGCTGAGATGGGAAATAGTCACATGATTCAAATAAAGACTCTCCTCCCTGAAAGAGAGGGGAGTGGTTGTGGACGGGAGCCCGAACACCGCTCCTAGCAGGGGGCGTTGCCCCCTGCCTCCAGCTCACCTGGCTGGCGCTCAGGCCCCCCCCGGAGGCCGTCCAACCATGTGCCATGGGGGGGGGCGTGTCCAGCAGCCTTTATGCTGCAGTGCCAGCCTCTCCCCGGCTTCATTTCTCTTTGTCGTCCTGTGCGAGTCATCAGGATCTCCTCTTCCACGTGCCCAGCTGAGCGACCACGTGGAGCCCGTACTTTGAAGAGGACTTTTTAAAAGGGAGGTTTCGCCATGTGGTTGCTGTTGTCCAAGCTAACCCCCTTGCCTGTACCTTGCATTTCCCTAATGCTTCCCCCTCGTTCTTCCTTATTTTCTCATTTAGATTTTCAAAGCCTATTCTCATTGTTTTCGTCTGCTGAGCTTATTTAGTTCCGGAAATTCTACGTTACCCTTTAAGACTTTACTTCTAGTGTTCTCTGCCTCCCGACTATACTGCCTAAAGTCCTCCTTTTCTTTTGGGTGCTTGTTCATGGAATCATAGAATTATAGAATTGGAAGGGACCATGAGGGTCATCTAGTCCAACCCCCTGCAAGCAGGATTTTTTACCCAAGTGGGGTTTGTACCCACAGCCCTGTGTTTAAGAGTCTCATATTCTACCGTTGAGCTATCCTAGCCTCTAATTTCGCAACACATAATATTTTTTTTAGTAAACTCTTTAAAATAGGCATATTTAAAGCTGTATTTGGTCTCACCTGTATCATAGTTTATGCGATATGGCTAAATTATGATTCGTTTATCTCCTTTAGCGATTATCTCTTTCTTGCTGTTCTTCAGACAGATGATGGAGTGGTCTGGATTAATTAAATGAAAAACACAAGTGCATAAAATTCATTAAAGGCAAGTTAATGAAGTGGACAAATGTACTTCAGAACTTGACTAATGTGTGTCACTGCTGATGGAGCTTAATATAATGTAATGATCTGATTTACCTGAGGTTCACATTTTTTTTTTGTTCCCATAACAGCCAGTGGCAGTTTGCCCTTAAGATGTGTGCTGAGATGTCACCCCAGTATGTAGAGGCATGAATCCATTATTGAAAACTGCAATTTAAAAAATAATTGCATGCATTCACCAAGAAGACAAATTGAACTGAACCAGGTGTGGAAGTGGACTTGTGTTTCTGAGAGATGTGTATATTGTAGCTGAGGTCCTACATCTCAGGTGCTAAAAGTTTGTTCATTTGTTTACTCCACCTTTAGTTGCTCATGTTAGCAATACATACGTATTTTTCGCTCTATAAGATGCACCGACCATAAGATGCACCTAGTTTTAGAGGAGGAGAACAAGAAAAAAAAAATTCTCTCCCTCTCTGCCCAGCGCCCCTTCAGCAAAGTGGCAGGAGAAACGGAGCCCCTTCCGTTTCTCCTCCCACTTCGCTGAAGGGGCGCTGCGCAGAGAGGGAAAGCTGCGCAGTGCCTCTCCAGTGAAGCGAAGCCTCCGGAGCGCAGCGGGAGCGCTGGAGGCTTCGGGTTGCTTTCACTGAAGCCAGGGAGCCTGCATTCGCTCCATAAGATGCACACACATTTCCCCTTACTTTTTAGGAGGGGGAAAGTGCGTCTTATAGGGCGAAAAATACGGTATTCATTAAATGTATTGCGGGTGACAATATGAGAGCTTCAAAGAGCCAAATACATGCAGGACAATACTTTAGGTCCTTTTGTTGGCATGCCCAGTGACATCGTTTTCATTTTCCAACTGAATGGTGAGTTTCTCCCCACCCACTGTTATTGCTTCATCACAACTACTTATGAAACTCCTCTCCATTTCAACAGATGTTTGCCATACAGGACTGAAGCCAGAAGGGGAGATGTCACTCTTGGAGAAGTACAGCTCCAAACCTTCCTTGGTCACAAAGAAAGGGTCGTATTGTTTTCTAGATCCACGCCAATATTAACAGTAGGGCAGTGC